AGTGTCTTGATTTTAATTTTTGACTGTTTTCATAAGCAGATTTTAGAAGTTTTTACAGATTTCAAGACTTCCCCAGCATACACAGCTTTGTTCAGCCTGAAATGTCACTTCCGGCAAAGATATAACAACACAATTAGTAGAAACATGATGCTGAAGTGGGGAAACAATTCTGAAATGAAAAGATGCCACATCTGAGATTCTGAAGCATCTTTTAAGAAGAGACCACATCTGAGATTCTTGAGCATCTTTCCCTCACAGGGAAGCCAAGAGAAGTGCCCAACTGACTACTGCAGGAACCCCACTGCAAACTCATTGATACCTCCCTTGGATGGGAGTAGGCCTGAAGAAGTAGAGATTAAAAGTGTAAAAAGGGAAGAAAAAATATAGAAAAAAAGTGCCATTTAAAAAATGGTTTGGTCCTCATTTCTCTCCCAGAGTAAAAAGATGTTTCAGACAGGCTAGGAAAAAATCCCACATTGAGCACTGCTTAGTAAGTAAAACAGTGGGCCAGAACACAATTAAAATAAAGTCTTTATTGCCTGAAAGGACTAGTTACCTTGCTATAGATACAGATGCTTGTTGCAATAACTGGTAAACACAAAATCAGAAGGCTCTCTGAAAAGACTGCTTAAGTAAAAGTTAGTGTTGAAATGAACACTCAGCTTGCACACAGGAGACATACGCATTTTGGACTACGCTGTAGAGATTATCTAATGAGGAATGTAAAGCAAGCATTACACCGCAAACTCAGAGGCTAAAAACAGGCAATGTGATAACATCTTATATAGAATCACATCACAGGTTTGAGTAGGAGGTGGTTTCCTTGCCATTAAAGTAGCCGAGAATTAAAAGCAGATGCTCGAAAGCAAACTCCTCCTTCTATCTGCTTCAGCAGCCTTCTCTGGGAGCTTCCACTGCCTGCAGGCACCAGGATGAGATCAAGAAGTGCTGGAGCACCTCAGGACCTTCAAAAATAAGGACATATTCACACGCATCCCGATAAGGGATTAAAGAGACTGATATTAAGTGATGGTGTGGATCGTGACAAAGATTTGCCAAGGCAGACATGATTCTGGGAGATGACACAGTCACAGGTAAGCATGCCACACTGCCTTGCCTGAGACAGTGACATTCCTACAAATACCCCGGGGCAGAGTGAACTATTACAAATTACACATTTTCTAGCTCTCCATCCTAGCTATCTACAGATAAACAGCACAGGCTGAAGTGTGTACATACACTCAAAATTTGGCATCATGGTGCATTTCTAGTATTCACATCCGAGCAGGAGGACGTCTATTGAACAAGAAAGGGACCAGCAGGAATGAACTGCAAGTCTGCATGAACTACAGAAAACATCTCTCTTTAAAACTTCAATGCTCACCAAGTACATCTCACCCCAATAAGCAGCCTATCATCAAATGTGGCAGGAAAACATGTTTAATTTCGCAGGGCTCTCCTGGTGTCTCAATATTGTCCCAAGCAATATATCAATATTGTCATGCCTGCTTTTAGATCATGAATGCTCCAAAATAATTCTTTAGTTGTTCTTCCAAACATCTCATGATATACAAGAATGCTCTAAGGAATACGAAGTTCTGTCAAAATCCCTCCGAACACAGCCTTAGGCTGTTTCCACATCCACCACATAACATAATGAAAAAAAAACCCCAAAACTTAAGTATAAGAAGCCTTGTGTCCATCCTCCATGTTTTAGCTTTTCCCTGATCCATTCTTGCTCCCTGAATTCCATCACTTTCAGCAATCTTCAGCCCATCCTTTACAGCATGTGATGCATGAAGTAGTTTCCTAGTCAATCTACACCAGTCCCAACACTATTAGTATTAAAATCTGTAATAATAAATCAGCCATTCCCACAGCTTCTCCTCTTACAATGACTTCACTCTCCTGTGTGCATCTCATTTACTGGTGTTGATGATGCATACGCTCATGCTCTGAATGCGAAAACCCTGATGGCAGCATCACACCCTCCAACTGACTGTTGACCAAAGCTAAAGGTCATGCATATTCCTCTCCAGTCCTGGAGGATCATTTGGTCTACCTGCCTCTTAATATTTGTTTGTTTTTATAACAACTCTGCAGTACTAGGTGTCACACAGGCATCCAGCTCATCAGCCAGCCAGCTCAATGCATGTGCCTACATCTTCACCTACAAAACCTGCTTGCATTTCTCTCCCAGTCAGCACAGGGCACCGGCGTCATTTTCACACCAGCAGACAGGACAATTTGTTTTCTACTGCAGGAGGAAAAAGTCTCTTCTGCAGTTAACACTAGGACAGGCAAGCTGAGCACCTCTACCACATCACAGTCCCCAAGGCGTACCAACCTGTGGGACATGCGGTTGAGCACCAGCTGCAGCAAACAAAGGAGGAGAATCAACCCAGCAGGCACCCAGGAAGGAATTTCCTAGGCTGACACAAGCTGTTCCACTGTCTCTGGAAGGCACCAAGAAACCAAAAACCAGCTCCTGTTTTTGTCACAAACTATTGAGGCAAAGACTTGCTAGCCTTAAACTTAATAAATACCATTAAAATCTCATTGCCCCACAAAACAGGACTAGGTGTTCTCACTGTCATCAATCTGCAGTGCCATTTAGCTTGCTCTGGAATTAAATGCAAAACTAAACATACCTTCTCCTTACAGGCCCCAGAAGAAATGAGAGAAGTTATATTTTATTGAATAATAAAAATCACACAGAACTCACAGGCCAACATTAGCTTTATAGATACTTCAGTCTTTTGGAAACTGATACATCAGAAAACTTTATCCACTTTATGTTTTGCTAGCATGTAACAAGACAACAGTCACTTCATAGTAAACCAAGCCTAAAAAGGGAAATAGTACCCTTGATGTGCTGGAAAAAGAGCAGCCTCAACCACAACAAGGGGACTACGAGCAGTTGTTTTACCTTTAGAAAAAAAAAACAAAACATCTTTACAGTGGAGCCCCAATCTGAACTTTGTTACACAGCATTAGCACAGGTGAGCAGATTTTCTCCCTTCCCAGTCTGGTACACTTAAGTGACAACTGCAAAGTTTTTGACAGCTGCCCGTTTTAACCTGCAACACCTGGTTTATCCCCATAAAAAACTCAATGGAAGGATTTTTCCTAATGAATGCACAGTAGAAGCCTGTTCATATCTCAAACCCCTGGCAATGATGATAAATGAGCTCTGCACAGCACATGCTACTACTCCATACCAAGCAGGAAGCATTGGCTGCGCTCTTTAAGAGATGGCATTCCACAACAAAAATGGAATTTATTTATTTTTTTACTCCATCAAAGATTTGGAGGGAAAGGGGAAGGGAGGGAAGGGGGGGGGGGGGGGCTAGCTTTGAAAATCCAGTGCTCTGGAATAATCAATCAGTGGTGTAATACAGAAAAAAAAAAAACAACAAAAAAAAAACAAACAAAAAAAAAACAACTGCAACTAGCAGACTACCTATCTGCCTTATATCCAGACACAGATGGCATTTTCACCCTTTTTAATTTCTGCATCTCATCTTCCTCCTAAGCAGCTAGCTGCCTATAACCAGGACTGGGGGAGTGGAAATGCTAATGCCCCCTAATAAGTGATCTAAATACAAGGAAAGTAAACACAATAGACATGGGCTGGTTTGGCTGAAGTGATGGATGTTACAGTGACAGACAACAATCCGTTGCTTTTCACCGTATACAAGTTGTTTTAACTACCGCAGAGAAGAATTACATGCCTATCTGGAAAGGGAGGGCAAAAGAGGCTCCTTTCCTACATTGCCATCCCTCTCACAAAACTAAACATCTGCCTGTTTATAGGGGAAAGGGGGGGGGAGGGGGCTATGTTGTTTCTATGGACAACCCTAGACACCCAATTGCTGATCAAACTCAGCCCTTTAAGGCAATTCCCCAGATACCCAAGGCACTGTACCTACATCTTCATTAGCAATAAAGGGCACCAGCTTGAGGTAGACTGTAGACTGGGAAACAGAAAAGGACTGTTTTCTAGCTCATGGCAGGGAACAATCATCAGCCTCACAACCATACTTCCAAGTTAAACAGTCAAAAAGATGATTGTGAGGGGAACAAAAATAAATTATTAACCAAGCAAATAAACCAAGAGTTTATGGGAAAAAAAAAAGGCATTAAAAAAAAAAAAAAAGGCAATTTTCTTACTCCAGCCATAAAACCAGCCCTCTTGCTCAAAAATCCTTCTGATGAATGCCAGCCCTATACTGTCGGAGCTGGCAATGCAATCTCACAGTCAGGACGTGGGAAGCACTGACATCTCTAGCATTGTATCTACCTGGACCGTACATTTTGCTCTCTGGCTTCAAGAGAAACAGAAGCTTGCACCTACCTGTAAACCAGGGCCACTGGTCTGGATATAGACTTCTGCCTTACCACCCCATATCCACACCTCCCACCCCTAGCTCAGCAACATCCCCACCCATGCATGCCCCCTGCTCATTCACTGCCTCCTGCTATCCAGGAAAACAAGCATTTACCTCTCAAGATTCCCTTCAGCAATTAAATAGAAACGTAGATACATGAAGGGGCGAGAGACACATGAAACTCTGGAATTTCTCAGTGTAACACTAGCAAATTCACCGGTCCAACGTGGTGCCTTTCACAGAGAAGCAGAAGGGAGAAGAAGAAGAAAACCTACCAGATCTCCTCCATCTACCCACTGTCTTCACCACCCTAGTTGTCCACGGCCAAATCCAGCTGGAGCCTACAAGGCATTTCTTAACTAGAAGCACACCCCATGTCCTCACTGTCTTCCCAGCATCCAGACCCAGAGAGATGTTCCCCCGTTACCTGAAGGATCCAGCCCCACCCCCCCACCCCCCCGAAGGCAAAACTATCCTTATTATGAAATAATTCAATCCAAGCGTGCACCCAGGGCAGCTGGCATCCTTCAGCCCAATGCAACCGGGCAAGGGTGCAACTGACGGGCAGGCAATGGCTGGTGAGCATCCATCCGTTGGGTGGTTAGTTACCTTTAGTCACCTCCGGCTCCTGAGATGCAAGTCTCCATCAGTTCCTCAACAACCTGCAGCAGGGAGCTGCTGCCACAATCCAGCCATTAAAACCAGGGGTGGGGGTAGGAAGCAGACCTGACCACAGTACCAAAGCCCCCAACCAGGAGGAAAAGGGGAGATGAGAAGCAAGGAACGTCCCTCAAGGAAGGAAAAAAAAAAAAAAGAAAAGAAAAAAAAAAGGAAGAGAAAGTCTCTCCTTTTCTGCCGTGTTCTTCTGCTACACAGGCTTCCTCCCGGAGGACGGAGGGTGTGTGGAGATGGGGGGAGGCGATCGCTCCCTTCTCTCCCCCGTCGCCGCCGACCCTTCTGGACCGAAGCCCGGCTCCGATTTACCTCCTCCAGGTGGGCAACTTCAGAGCAAGGTGATGTCTCCAGAGCCGGCACCACCGGCCAGGCGATTCGTATGCGGCAGAGTCATTGCCTCTGCTTTTTTTGCTGCTGCTGCTGCCGCTGCTGGAGAAGAACAGCCGCTGCCGAAGAGACCACCGAAAAAAAAAATAAAAAAAAAAAAAAAGGGAGAGAAATCTTCCACCATCCCCCTTTTTCTCTTCCCCCTCCAGCACCAGCCGCTCTTTGCATCCGCTCCCCTGCCCGCGGCCCCTCGCTCCACCGGGGCTGGGGGACACAAAGGCGCCCGCGCAAACGGAGGCGGGTGGTCCTCAGCCCCCCGCGTTCCGCCGGCACCCCAGATCTTTCCTCCTCTTCTTCCTCCTCCTCCTCCTTCTCCCGCTGCGGAGACCGCCAGCCCCGGCGCGGCTCGGCGCGGACAGGCGGGCGGGGGGCGGCTCCGCCGGCGCGCCCCGCGCGGTGCCTAACGGGCACGGGGGGGGCCCATGGCCGCGGGCGGGAGGCCCCGCCGGCACGGCTTGGTTCAGCTCTGCACAGCGCACGCACACACACGCACCGCACACGTACAAACACGGGGAGTGGGCTCCGAGGCGGCGGGACCCGCAGCACCAGCGTCCCCCGCAGGGCTGGGCCGGCGGCGGGAATGGGGACCCGGGGAGGAGGACGAGGAGGAGGAAGCAGCGGCGGGAAGCTCAGCGATGCTGCCCTGCCCGGAGGCGACTGCACGGAGCCGGGCGGGCGACGAGCCGAGAGGCGGGGGAGCGGCGAGGGCCCGGATCTGAGTTGCGCGGACGCGGGCTCCACCTAGCAGCCAGACGGCCGGCACGGCACGGCACGGCTCCGCACCACCGGGGGCTACCGCCGAGCTGCGCTCCGCTGCGCTATGCTACCAGCACGGCACGCTCTTCCCGCAAGCTATCTACTGCCCCTACACCTCCTCCCAGAAGTAACTGCCATCGCCCAGTTGGCCACTCTACCAGTTGCTCCCCTCCCAGACAGCCAATCGTAGTCTGCCTACCAGGCATGGAACCATTCCACACTAGATTCCCTACCTCCTGATTGGCCACTTAGACTTTTGGCCACAGCCAAAGAGCCAATCGCAGCCTGTCTTTCCATCAAAGAACCATCACCTGCTGGTTTCCCCACCTCCCAATTGGTTGCTCTGCCTATTGCTCTCCCAACACCCCCCCCCCCCCCCCCCCCCAAAAGCCAATCACAGCCTGTCTTCCTGGCACAGAACCATTCCCCACCTTCTAGCTGGCCCCTCAGCCTTTTGTTGCCAGCCAAGCAGTCAGTCATAGAATCATAGAATAGTTTGGGTTGGAAAAGACCTGCAAAGGTCATCTAGTTCAACCCCCCTTCAAAGAGCAGGGATATTTTCAACTAGATCAGGTTGCTCAGAACCACATCGTCTTGAATGTTGCCAGGGATGGCACATCCACCACCTCTCTGAGCAACCTGTGCCAGTGTTGTACCACCCTCACTGTAAAACATTTCTTCCTCACATCCAGCCTGATCTCCCCTCTTTTAGTTTAACACCACTGCCCCTCATTCTATTGAGGGGTAAAACAGGCCCTGCTAAAAAGTCTCTCCCCAGCTTTCATTTAGGCCCCTTTTAAGTACTGAAAGGCTGCAATAAGGTCTTCCTGGAGTCTCCATCAGGCTGAACAACACCAGCTCTCTTCAACCTTTCCTCACAGGAGAGTTGCTCCAGCCCTCTGATCACTTTTGTGGCCCTCAGCAGCCTACCTGCTGATCACAGACCCTCTTCCTGCTCAGGGCAGCCCCACAGCAAACTGGGGCCAGGGGAACACCCGCTGACCCTGCCTTAGGGCTCCCAGGAGGTAGAATACACAAATCCCCTGATCTCTGGAGAAAAAAGGACACCCAGGTCAGAGGACAAGAAGTCTACCTTTGTTTTAAGGTTTGTTACCTTAAATGCTCACAAGTGACCTCTGAAAATAATCGTGCTTGACTGGAACATTGGACCACATTATACCTTTGGTTTTAGTTTTGGAGAGAAGGACCTAAACCAACCAAACTCTTTTAACAATAAAGGACAAAAAATGAGCCAAAAAGTTTTCTAATTGCCTGAGTGCTGACACATACAACACATAACCCAACCTACCTGGGGGAACACTGCTGCACTCCTGGCTTTAAACATAAGAAAACTATGGCCAAGAGAGCTGGAAGGGCCCAAATAACACCACTAAGTCCACCCCAATAGAAGATCCACTCCATTTATTATCCTGACCATCCATTTCTTTAACAAGCCCTTGAGGATATCCAAAGACAGAGACCTTACAAGACTGTCCAGTTCAGCAGGATACAGGAATTAATTAATTTTGTTTGTTAAGTCAGACCATGAGTCAGGAAGATGCTGACATGTGTTTCCAGCTGCATCGCTAGTTAGACAGGCATAGAAATGTGTATTTTAGGTTAAGAACTGCTATTCTGGATGCATTGATGTGCTGTGGAAAATTAAGACCAATAAACATAAATGCTGTTTTCCCAATAATAAAATCATGGCCTATCTCACTGCCACTGCAAAAATAAAGGAAGAATGTCAACTGTGGTGAAATTTTGAGGGAGGGGAGTGGAAATCTAAAAGTTATAACAGATCGATTTTTGTTTCCAGTACATATCTGCAAAGTCAGGTTAGAGAACACCTGGCTTTTCCCACAAGACTGCAGAAAACCCCCAGAAGCCCTAGTGAATGAGGCACAGCCTTTTACAAAGGTTTATTTTCAGAAGCAGCATATTTTAAAGCAATAAAGTAGTCATTGTGTTTGGGGCCTCACATTTGGCTTACCAAAATCATCCTCCCCAGTGGGAAAAGCCCTGAGGGAATCTACCACTCCATCCTTGGGAAGGTCCTTTTCTGTAACAGCCCTTTTTCCAGGGGCAACATGGAGAAAAAGAAATAACGAAACCACCAAAACCCCCAAATCTTTAATACTTCCTCTGCTGGGATGCTCAGGGATACGACATTTTCCAAGATACAATTATATCTCTGATGATATTCACCACACATGCTCTGGGAATTAAACAAAGCCCTACAAGTTGAAATTAGATTTGCTATATATCTTTAAGCTCTATTTTAATGCACAGGTGAGAATGAAATCAACGTTTAGTCAGTGAGTGGGGAAAAGACAGAGTACCACCAGGCTTAAAGTGTGGTAGTTTGTTTGTTTTGGTTGGTTTGTTTTCTCTTATGGCATTACATATAATGAAGATGATAAAACCGATGAGTTGTGGGGGGAGGCAAGGAAAAGCTTCAGAAGACCACTGAAGTGGCACAATCATTGCTCATTAAAATAGTGTCTCAGGATTAATACTGCAAGCCAGCCCAGAAAAAGTTAGAGACAGAAAAGTTGCACTAGGTCTTGCAATTGTGGTCTCTAGAGGCAACAGCAAGATCATTCCCCAGAGGCGATTTTCCCAGTACTTATCTAGCAAAACTTGAAAGGTGTCCAGGGCTGAGGTTTCCACCAATTCCCTTGAGTGATTACTCCCCAGTCTCATATATTTCACTGTTTGGAAGATCTTCCTGCTGTTCAGCTTACATTTTTCCATTTCTTAATTTCGTACTATTACTTGCGGTTATGGCCCCAATTAATCAAAGTACTTCAATGAATGTTTAAATTTAGGGATGTGCTTAAGCTCCATTGAAATCACACGCATGTGTTTTGCGGGGCTGATGGATATGCACATGTGTTTAAGCGCTGTGCTGAATTGGGACCATGCATCATCCAAAATAATTATCCTTCTCTTACATATTTTTAACTCATTGTCCTTCCCTTGCTTAATTATTGATTAGATAAGCTATATATTTAAGCTGCTTAATCTCTCATTGTGTATCAGTCTGTCCAAGAATATAATAGTTTTTCTTGTTCAGATCTGAATTCTCTCGAATTCTTTCATGTTTTGTAAGGATAGGTAATGAGGTATTGCAAGTTAATGCCCTATCCCAGGTGTGATTACATAAAGAGTAGTGATTCCCTGCAGTCGAAAGATATAACTTACTTGCACAAGAAACCCCAAAGTGCATTGATTTGTTGTGCTTATCTATCATTTTGTAAGGCTCTCTATAATCTACTCCCATTCTTTTCCATATCCATCACCCTGGCATTCAGGTTTTTTTGCTTGCAGAGGCCGTCGGCCCTTTGGCCTTCAAATTCAGTGCAGTGTTTTACACCGGAAAACCTGTAACAGAACCAAATTGCAGCCTTAAATGCTTCCAGAATGTTTTCTCCTGTGTAAAAAAAGCAAACCAAAAAACCAAAAACTACCAAAACCAGACTATTTCAAGTTGTATTATTTAAACATGTTCACCCAGTATTCTGGGTTCCAAATCATCTTCTTATTCACAAGATGCCACACATACCACCTTGGCACCGCATCGCTTTCTGCTCATTATTCCATTATCCACCAGGTAGATGCAGAGCTTTATTGATTATTTCATTATTTTACAATGGATTAAAATTAGGTTTAGTGAACTGTTTTTGCTTGTGATTCTGACACTTTTCTATTTTTCCTCCCCCCCCCCTTCTTTTTCTGAAGATCTGTGTCCTATTTTCTCTCTAGCTTTCTCTCAGATTTCCATGAACTTCCATAAACAGCTGTCACTAAGCCATTACAGTCAGTAATGAATTACCTTATTCTCAGAGATGCATGTCATCTGGACCACTTCATTGGTACATATTTATGCTTTTTTGGCTCGCTTTTATATTGTTATTATTTTTTAAACCAGTTCTTCTGCACGAAATATATCTCATAGTGTTTTCTTTACTTCATAATCAAGTATTATGAGGCTTGCTTGGTTTACACCTTTTTTGTTCCTATGTGATGTATTGTCATGCATCAACTGTAAAAAGCAAATGCCATAGAGTGACACAAATAAACACCATGGGCTTCCTGCTATAGATCCAGAACAACTCAACTCATCCCTCATAAACCCATATTTCCATCATAAAACCTCCACATTTGAAGCTCACCAATTTCTTTAACAGTAGATAGTAGCACTGAATTAGACTCTTTTAAGACTGCATATTCTGTGTTTTATTCTTCTTACTCCTCACATCCTCTGCAGCCCTGGTTTAGTAAAGCAGTCTTCAATCCCTCCCTACTGGGGGAGCTCTTCATGTAATTGCCTTTTTCCATGCCCATTTTTAGGCACAAGCCTCAGTGAGATTGTTTGCACTGGACTTATAACAAATTCCAAAATAAGGAGTAATTCACAGGCAGAAATCAGCATTGAGATGCATGCTTAGCCTGCCTTCTGGATATCTACCCCTGCATGTGTCTGGAAGTTAGCAGTTTCCACAGTTTCCATTGATAAAACCCCTAGTTGAATAAATTCACAGAATGTGCCATGTTGCTCAGGGACAGACATATCTTACTCCCACCACTTGCTCTGGCTACAAACCTGTTAGAGAATTTAGCCACCAGGGATTTTACCATGGGAAACTTCAGCACTGCTAGTTTTAAGACACATGTAGAGGTAGCTATCCAAAAAGTCAGGTTGTGTGTTGCTTCTCTCATCTGAGCATCATCACAAGCCCTATGGTTCATGCCAGCAGCCATGCTGGGTGGGCTGAGCATGCTAAAGTCCTCTGCTTCAACCCCAGTTAGTGGCAGAAGATCCCACCCCATCCCGCTTCTCCCTGCATGTGCTTCATGGCCTAGCGCTCAGCTCCAATTAGGGGAGTTAGACATCTGTGGCTTAGGTACTCAGGCCAGCAGTTATGTTGCCATCTGATATAAAACCTTGAAGACCCTTTGGCAATCAAAGAAAAAAAAAGATATTTTTTATGTTCAAAAGAGCCACGGTGATAATGCTTTTCAGTTGCTGCGGAAAGATGTCT